CTTCTTCGGTTACATTAATTAAATCTGTAAACCAGAGTAGCATCAAACCATGTCAGCAGCGGCTTAGTTGTAAAATTCACTGAACTAGCAAGATATATCAGTGAATGATCACAAATCATAACGCTAAAATCATCATGAAGTTACAAATATATTTTGTAACGAAACTGCTTGCCGAGATAATTCCATCTGTCAACGGAATGCATTTTGTTGCTTTGACGAGCGCGCTGTAAACAAGCAGATGTCTTTAGAACGTTACTTCGAGGGTGACGAAGTCGCCGATTTCAGCAACAAAAGTAGAATAGAAGTACCTCAATAAGCTCCTTAAATTCACTTTCTCCGCAAAGATGTTGGTCCAAGTAGTTCCAGTTATAATTTTCCATTTCTTCATGCCGGAATTCCCCATAATTTGGTTCAAACAGTTTTCTTTGTGGGATCCAAAGGCGATAACTATGTACAAAGAATAATGAAAAAATAAGTCAACAACGAAGAGGAAATCAATTCAATAACCAAACAAAGAAGTGCATGTGTTTATAACACTCAATTACTCCCAGCCGCCCTGCAATAGCCTGCGTTGCTGGCGGTCTGCGCGCAACGCAGGCTACCCTGCAAAGTCTCACAGGGCGTCCGTGACAAATCAAACGATCCGAGGAGCGAGAAAACACCGATACTTTTGGATCTAAGGGGTTGAGAAGCAAGCGAAAATTTCATTTAACAATGATTCAGTTGGACCGAAGTTCCAACAAATCACTAGAAGATGGCCTCAAAGATACCATAAAAGAACTTGCTATAGCAATCTTACCTGTATTTGATAGGTTGCGAACCAAATTGATGGCGTGGTCTATACTTGGTCACTGTCACCTCATGTGAAGTCAAGCTTAACTTGTGCGAGATCCGTCCAATGCTAAGAAAGCATTCCTGGTGATCTGACTTGGCTGGTATGGCCGCGATGGACTGGGGCTTATTAGGAGGTGCTGGTTTACCCTTTAGTGGGGTCAACTGAAATCCCTATCAACATGGGAAAGAAGAAAAACGAATGCATCTTGAATAAGGTTCAAAACTGTCACTTATTTACAATGACATGATTAGCAATTAGAGGGGAGAATTAAAAATCAGATCTTGTTAGTTAAAGGTTTTATAAAGTACACGATCACCAACTACAGAAACTATTAATTGTTAAACAAATTCACCTTGTCAGCACTTTAGGAAGTGTATAGAGAACAGGTTAGGGAATATGCTTACTGACATCAGGGTGAAAATGGCCAATACCTTTCGAATTCGTTGCGAGACAAGTTCCATGAATAACATCTCCGCGCTTAAACCCCGGGGAACCCCATGTGAATCTTCCTCCGGCAGACTAGAGAAGTATCATTCCATAAAAAAATAAGCATACGTTAAGGCAATTATTAGCTGGAACAGATCGGACAAAATGGTTAATGGCAAGATGACTAAGTATTTTAAGAAAAAAGAATCTTAAAGTTTACCTGAACTTTTATGGAAAAAAATGAAACAGTGGAAGTACTGTTTTCGGCTAAACGAGCGTAATTCGATTAAGTTTGGTCATACCAAAACCAAGTTTATCACAAAAGCCAATCAGACCGAAAGAAAATGGAGCGTGTTTCGACTGGCTGTCTTAAAACCAAAACCAAAGTATTCACAACGGCCAATCAGAAGCAGGAAAATACCTTCTAGTGGCAATGAGAACTCAAAGTAAAACCGACCAAACTGCCTAAAGCGCGCGAAAACGCGGATGACCAAGTCGTGATTAGTTTAAGTTTTGCATTTGATTGGTTGAAAGAGTGGCGTGAGTTTTCTGGACCAACTACAGAGCGAAGTAAAACAAAACAAAGCAATCCCAGATTACTTTCGACACTCAATTGAGAATTGTCCATGCGTGTGACGCATGGACAAAAATCAGGCACGTGTGTACCTTTCCTGTTTTCCCCAGCCAGAAATCTTCTTCTCTTCTGTATATTCCTCTTCTACTTCAATTAACAGAGTGTAATTATATTCGCAGTAATCGGATTCCAGTGTCTGTTTGCTTGGACTGTAATCTGTGGTCAGAGGTAAAAGAGCAGGACATGTCAGCGATTTCCAATCCACACTCGTCTTGACAGCAGCTGTCCAATCATGTTCATCGGGAGTTTTCTCTACCCCTCGATATAAATTAATTCGTGGAAGCTGAGATCGGCGCCTCGGTGTCGTATTCTGTGATGTCTTTGTTAGTTCGGAAATCGGGCTGAAATGGCCGAGAATACCCGACGATAGTTCTGGGATGAAGGCGTCATCTTCGTATGTATCTTCATTCTCTTCACTAATCATCAGTGGGTCCAATAAGTCTTGCTCCTCCGAAATGCTCCGAGACTTTACTTCTGACATTTCCTGTTTTCGAGCTGCCACGACGGCTAGTGCTGCTTCTTCGACACTACGTGACTGAAATACAAATGAAGATAGAAAATGAGTGGATTTAAATTCAACAAATGGTGATCGCTTTTCCTGATCCTAGGCCTTAGGCGAAGGTGTGGAGGCTGAAAATTGTTTTGTTTTTATTTTCGTTACTCTGCTACGTGGGTTTCTTGGTGACTGGTTTAAAATCTCGCTCTAACAACTTAACCAGAATTGACCAGTTAGAAGCAAACTCTGAAATATCGTGTCAAAGTCTTACGCGTTTTCAACAAATTGTCTCTCGAGCATCGAAAGTAATCCAAGATTTGGTTTAAGATCAAGATAACTACTTCAATCTGATAAGTTTGAGTATTCTCACTCTCTGTTTGCTAGATAATGTATGGACATTAAAGGAAGAAGTTACATGTTATACACTTCTGGGAGTTGAAGAATTGAAAAAAAACCTACCTTCTCAGTTTTAATTTGTGGGTTGCTTTCAGCTGGTGAGAGTTTCTCATAGTGTCGATGGAGAACCTCTCCCCCAGGCCCCTTGGGAAAAACATGTGACCACCGATGTCGATTACACGTCCAGTTACAAGGAATCTCGTTCGGCTTGAAAGGATTTATCAGGGTCCTCTGGGGCCGTGAATGACCAGGGATCTCATGGCGACTTGCGCCCGCACTTCCGACCGCAAGCCGGCGAGGGACTGGACGAATGATTTCGTGAGAAGTTCCATTCACCACCATATTTTCGGAAAGAGACGCTGAAGAAACGAAGTAACAAAAGGAATATTTAAGGGAAGGGAGAGATAGGCATTTGGTGTGGTACATCCTCACGGCTACGCTTGATGTGTAAAAAGATAAAGAGAGAAAGAAATTTTGAGCTCAGTCATTGATTAAAGAGAGATGTTATCCATTTAGTGTGTGCGCGAGACAAAAATGTACCCTTTTTTAACCACTGATAGTTTCGTTGTCTCTGAAGTCTGTTCGAGATCCTTTTAGACTAGTTAACTTTACTTTTAACCACTGCTGAGGACACTTCGATGTAATAATCACAAAAGTCAATCCGTGTACAATTCAAAATTAGCCACGGTCAAAAATGAACGATCAACTGCAAACATATCTTACATTAATGTACAGAGGAGTGATTCCGGACACACAGGAATAACACAGACAATTAAGAGTCTTAATTGTCTGTGATATTTGCTCAACCTAACATACAGAGAAGTGGTTCCGGACACACAGGAATAACACAGACAATTAAGAGTCTTAATTGTATGTGCTATTTGCTCAACCTAACATACAGAGAAGTGTTTCCGGACACATGGGAATAACACAGACAATTAAGAGTCTTAATTGTCTGTGTTATTTGCTCGACGTCACATACAGAGAAGTGGTTTCTGAATAACATCGAGTTTCGACTTTTGTGAAGTATTGCAGTTTTCAGTAACCAATGTCAATGTTCCTGTGTGTCCGGAATCACTTCTCTCATTGCCTCATGCCTCATTAAGGCGTAATCCAAAACAACGACATGGGTACAACGTTCACGCTCGGCTGCAAATTTTATGCATAATTCAAAGCCTGATCTAACACAAAGACATCGTAAAACTTTCACGCTCAGCTGGACGAAGTATATGAGATATGGATTGAATTGGTGCAGCGAACTGAAACTGTTTATGCAAGACGTCATACCAGGTAATCATGACGCCGAATGATATGCTATTAAGTGGTGAACGTACCCTTTGGAACGTCATACCAGGTAATCATGACGCCGAATGATATGCTATTGAGTGGTGAACGTACCCTTTGGAACAATGTGTGCACGAACCTGAACGACAAAAAAACCATAAACTGTATTGCTCAGTCTGCGTTCCTAACAATAGGTAACGTGTGTTTATCAAACAAAGACATATCCAATTTTGTCGTTTTGAAGTTTTCTTCCTGAATCTATTCTCTTTGGAACAACGTGTGCATGAACTATAGGAGAAGAACAACAAAAACCGTCCATAGAATTTCTATCCCAAGAATGATTGTCATAATTCGTCAAGTTCTTAAAAGGATACTTCGATGTTCATTAGGAATCGTGAAGCCGTGCCTCGCGCTACTCTTGTGTTCATACCAGGTCATCATGACGCCGAATGATCAGATTAAAGCTAAAGCTGTTGAACATAATGATTTGGAAGGTAAGCAGCTCAGTTTCATATGTAACAAAATCGTTTTAATGCCTGATAAATTTCAGTGATATTTCTTATTGTTTTGTTAAATTTTGACATAGCTAATGATAAATCTTCATTCTCTTCACCTTCCTTTCTTTGCATATAAATAACTGTATACGTATTTATTTCTTCATTAAAATTTTTTATGCACTCTTTCCTAAGTCTCCTAAGGACATCAGATTTCCACTACAGTCGTTGAAATATATGCATATGTATGGATATACATATCTTGAAATAAAATTTTGCTTTCGTAGTGAAATATGTGATTGATGTGTGCTCTTTTTTCCTCCCTCTCGTCAGTAAAACCCCCAGTTCTGTGCTCCGAGGATGCAGCAGATGACCATTTGGTTTAGGGAAAGAATATATAACCTCTGAAGAGGATCAACCAAGAACTTTAAAATCATAATTCGTTAAAAAACGTAACTAGAAACATGCTATATAATAGTTGTGATTAGCTGACGAAGTCTAAGGTTCATATACTAATTAACATATCGCTAAGAGAGTTCTTGTTAATTGTGTAAGGCACAGCCGTCATTTTGTTATCTATAAACCATCAAAACTGTAAAGGCATTCAAATAGTTTATCTTCCATATTGTTGATTACGTAAAAACTAATATTCAGATGACAATGAACATTTCGACTCAAAAAAGTAGATCATTTAGTTGGGAAAACTTAAAAAAGTTTAGACTGCACGATCACTCCTGGAGAGTGCCGGAAATACGTACAAAATCAAGGCTAGTAGGCTAAATTACCTCTATCACGATCGCCTGGTAGTTAAATACTCACTTTAAGTGCCCTCGGAGATAACTCATCACGATGCAGGACTTATCTTTTTTTAAGATATCAGTTAAACTGACTAACATTTGAACTTTAGCCATGCGCGCTCAGATAACAATCCATGTGTCTGGCACAGCGTTCGGTCACTTTAGTAATCGCTCGCACGACTTCTGAAATTACCGCGTCAGTTCATCGCTACTTGCCTCAAACGTAAAAACCCATCTAGAAAAAAGACTCCGAACAATATGGCTCACAATCGAAGGTTTCTTTGATCCTCAAGTCCGCAACCGCAGCAGGTTCCCTAACAGGTTCACCGATGCCCATTTATATACCTGGGTGGAGAGAGAGACGCACTGTGGCCAGGATTTAAGCCTGGGAAGTGAGAATGGCGCAGTGTTGAGCGCGCTTGCCTCACACCGCTGTGGCCTGGGTTCGATTCCCAGACCTGGTGTCACTTGTGGGTTGATTTTGTTGGTGGCTTTTTCCCTTACTCCTCTGATTCTTCTCCGTGTCTTTCGGTTTTTCCTCCCTCCACAAAAACCAGCATTCCAAATTTCAATTCGATCTGGTCACAGTGGACAAGAAGAGCCACCTTGGAAAATACCTACTGCCAAATCCATTATTATCATTATTACTATCATTATCATAATTATCATTATTATTACTATTATAAGCCCAGATTATTCCCATTGAGCTACTATGCCTCCCACATGGAAGCCAGAAACAGTGACGTGAGATAACATACCGAGGACACCATGAGATGTATACTCCATAGATGAAGACAGTATAAGGGTTCCTCTGCTGTCCAGGGTCTTTAAGGATAGAGCATCTCGTTCCTTGAAAGAAAAGTTAAAACACATTAATGTCCTTTAAAGGCGGCTAGCTTCTTGGAATAGAGAAAGAATAGCAATAACGAACGCACAAACAAATCAAGAAATGACTGAGTAAAAAGTTGTTTTCCGATATTCTCGGTCAGTCTTTCTTTATCAGAACGGAAAACATGGTATGAAATTTCCTCAACCAGCCTGTAAAATCGAGAAATGATTAAAATTGAGTTATTTTCTCCGTGAGATGGCGAAAAGTGCATGCCGGGAAAATTTTTCATCCCTGACGACGATTGACGGAGAATGTCGGAACGTTCGTAAACATTTTTCCATTCTTTTTCCAAACTTTTCCACACAGAGTAATTCCATATATTGAAAACTTTAACCAGGCAAGATCCTAAATACAGCAAAAGCTTGAATGAATTACCGTAAAGGTACTAAAAGAAGCTGAAATCTCCATGTCCTCGTAAGACGAAACCCCTCTGGGAGGCGAGGAAACACGGCGGAAAATAGGTTCTTCTTTTGACTTGGCCACTCGCTGCATGTCAAGAGCACTTCGTATTCGTCTGAAGGTCGTGCCTCCGGGTGCCCAGCCCTTCAGAGTGGAGTGAGTAAGCGGATTCCTGAATACTTTGGCGTCATATTCGTCATAATCCACCCGATCTGCGAGCTGGCTGTCTCCCACTTCTGTCTTGCAGTGTTTAGCAAAATTGCTGTACGCTTAGGTGAGAGAACAAAAATACAAGAACAAAAATCATCGTTTCTGTCGCAATGTAACCAATTCTGAAATGACTGAAGGAAGTAGGTTTCTGGTCCTGCGTAGGTGGCGTAGGATAACAAAATAATTTGGTTTCATCAACTCGGGAGTTGGTAATATAAATTAGCCACCATAAAGAGTTTCAAAGCTGACGTTCCGAGCGTTAACCCTTTCGTTCGGAAATGGGTCGTACTGTTCCGATTGTTCGCTCTATCAGGTGTCTACTTACGCATCAACTAATAAGGTAGTTCACAATTATTTACCAAAGTAGGAGTAAATATCCACCACTTTCATTGACGCTGAGGTGAGTTAGTGTTTTAGTATGTAACACCAAGAAACAAAAAATAAGTGTTTCACTTCTGTCAATATACCGAAAAATGGTCGGAAGCTGAACTCTCCACACGCGATTTTGTCTCTTCATCTACCTGGAGGAGAATATTACTCACTTTCACTTCCGAACAAGCCAATCAGCGCGCACAAAAAGCACTAGTCACTCGTGTGATATATACCAATATACTCCGCTCCATACAGTGATGACGATGATGAACAACTACTACCTTTTATGAGGATATTCATAAGAACTTAAACAAACACCAAAAAAACCGTGCTCCGGCAGAAATTTGAGTGTAATTTCAAAGACGCAAACTTTACCATATGGCAATAACTCAACTTGTTGAGCACAGTCCTCGGTTTACGCACTGGAGAAGATTATTATTTTTGCAAATATTCACTGAACAAACAGTCTGCATCTCAGTGCTACGCGAAAAGTTTACTAGCAGCAAACAGCAGTAATGGGAACTAACCTTCTTCGTGTTCACCGTTTTTTCCAAGTGAATTCAAAATAGCTTCAGGTATTTTTATACGAGGTGCAACGTTCCCTGGCTTATTCCTTGTCTTTGGTGAAGTGTAGAAATTGTGATTCATCCAGTGAGGAATGTTATAATCATCTCCAATGTCGTTGTCTCTGAGGCCAAGTGTCTTGTTAAAGAACTTGAAAAGAGGTACAGTGTGAAGCGGCTGTTCAGCAAGACACACAAGGTCGATCGACACACCTAGTGACATAACGTTATGTACAGTAAGTGACCCCTGAACAACTACAAATTCTTTGACTCGATAAGAGCAATTTTCAATTGAGTTTCGAGAGTATAATCCGGAATTACTTTGGTTTTACTTAACTTTGCTCTGTGATTGGTCCAGAAAACCCGCGCCATCCTCCCAACCAATCAGATGCAAAAGTAAAAACAATCCGGCACAACTTCGTCATTTCCCGCGCTTCGAGTAGTTTGCTTGTTTTTAACTTTGAGTTCTCATTGGCCGATGATAATGTAAACCTTTGTTCTGTTTGGTCGCTAGGACTAATTTGGTTTTAGTCTTTGAACACTCGACTTAAAATTGCTCTCTTGCGTTCAAGTACAACGCAATACCTTGAATTAATTTGACAACAGACGGAATATCTAAATGGGAGTCACAACCAGATTAATATCCTTTAATCCTACCAACTTTTACTGATTATCTTTTATAAATAGAAAGTAAATTTATGATCGTTAAAATAATAACGAGAATGATAACGAGATAATGAGGAATTTGAATCAACATAGTGGGCAGACGAATGCACAATAAGGAAGGATCTCATGAATGATCTATATTACCAAAAGGCCTTGGTTAGATCAGTGCAAGTAAACTTGACTTAATGTACTCTATCTTAACCAAACCATCTTAAGTTGCAAAAAAGACATAAACTATTGTGACAAGTGCTTGAAGGAGCTCCGTCAGGACCTGTGTATTTTGAAAAACTTGGTCTCTAAATTTCAATTTCATCATTCGCAATTTGGGTTAATCACTTCCATCTAAAACTATACTCATAATTCTTTAGTTTTGTTTTGCCTCTGCCGTCTTATCCTACTCTAACAAAGTACTATTTCATAGTTTCCTGGCCATTCAACGTGACTTTTTAGAATTTTGAAAGAGCTCCATTAACAGATCCTATGAAAGAGAGATTGTTACGATGGAAGTGTACTTTATCATACCGCTATCCAGAAGACGCTGTTTAGTTATGCTAGTCATTTCTCTATCCACCTCAAACACTCCGGACCCAGGTGCTACAATGATAACCGTCTGACCAGTACGACCAAAGTTGCGATCGATATGATGCCTCTCAAAAGCTGAAACGAAAAATAGTGAAAATAAAATGAGAAATTACCAGCCAGGTATTGAAACAGAAAGTAATCAAGGCTTGCATTGAGTTCACTCTACTTTTCTCTGTGATTTATCTAATGATCTAAAAAACTTGCACCGGTCTCTCGACCAATAAGATGGAAAACGGACACCAGTCACTGCTTGTCATTCACATTTTCCCGCGCTTCAGAAAGTTTTCTTGCTCTTACTTTGAGTTCTCTTCGGTTCCTGATCATTATTATTTTCCTTCAGCTGTTCTGATTCGCAGTTTTCATTACTTTGGTTTTGTATGCGAGACACTCGATCGAAATGCGTCTTGCGGCTGTCGTTAACTCCAACCTAAACCTCGATCTCTCAATTTTTTTTCCCATCACGTCATTACCTTCACAATTTACTCACACAACTCTAACGGCTCAAGAACGAATGAATAAAGGGAGTAAACTTAAAAAGAAACTGTAGTGCTGTGTCGATGACGGGTATAACAAGATAATTTGGTTTAATCAACTGAGCCGATAGTGTACATTGGCCACCGTAAAGAGTTTCTAAAGCTCACTATCCGAGCGTCAGCCCTTCGTCAGAGCCCTAAGAACGAATCTTCATTCAATGGACACTGCTATCAAGCGGACGCAGACACAGAAATTGAGCCTTTTTGCCACCCAGACCGTGTTGTAAGGGGAACTTTCATAAGTACTGATATATATCTTTTATGTTTTAGGAAATTTAAGATATCACATGGCAAAAGAGAGTCATCAAGCCAGATGGGAAACGCATGTCAAAGCACAAAGTATAGCTCAAGAGAAATGTAACAGGTACCCTCGGACCTCTCTCTAGCCACACCCCTGCTCAAAGACTAAGATATGCCGTTTCCATTATCACTTGCCATTCATCGCCAAGTTGATAGCTTCTAGAAAGTTTCCCTCGTAGGAGCTGGAATTTTGCCCCTTGATTTTGGTGCCTTTAAGCTTATCACAACAGTTTGAGAATTTTGGATATTGGTTAAAGCAGTGCTTCAGAGTGACCAGCATAGGGATCCAATCATCACAGCTGTCTGATAAGGCAACAACTTGGTAGAAATCTTCATAAAACCGTCCGTAAGGATCCTTTCGAATACATCCTTGAGCTTCTAAGGGAAATTCCTCTGCAATTGTAAATCAAGAGAATATTTGTCTGTTAATCTAGACATTGATATTAGTGGAGGGAACTCTCCATCTCTTTGCTCTTACCCCACTTTTTGAGTGGCCAGAATGCAAAAAAGGGGATGTTTGCATGTCAGCTGGGTAGTGTTGGCACATGGGAGCAACTGCAGAATACCCAGCCACTCATTTACAAGTCATTGAATAAGAATAGCGTCTATTGTGTTATGCCTTGATCTTCAAAGCCTCCCAACACATGTAAGTGAGGCGGACCAAAGTGGCCGGGTATTCTGCAGTTTAGCCGGTGCATATACTGACTGTTATTATGCAACTTTCATTTTTTTTATAAACTGTAAAATTCAGGTCAGAAACATTGTGGTTCCTCGAACTAAAAAATGAAAGCTAAGTACCCTGGTCATTTAGTCACCCACTCATTTTCTAAGTCCTTTCTAAGTGAGTTATTGGAACTATTCATTTATGGCATATTGACTCAAGGATTACTGTATGACTACTGTCCTATGGAGGGTTTCCTTCCCAGTCTCTCTTTATTTGTAAGACCTTCCTTCCTACATAGTAGGAATCAAATATCCTAAGAAGCAATGGCAATGTCCTCTGTATAGGAAGGTCACAAATACTAACTTAGTCAAAAAGCATCAGGATCCCAAGTTATTCCCTACTTAAGCTAAAGGATCTGATAATATTAATTCAATGATCAAATCTTTTTCTGTTTACTAGACTGAGCCACCTTTAAAATGAAGTTCCCTTAACGAAAAGAGATACAGTGCTATAGAAACATCACCTACCAAGAGACTGTGCATTGTAAAATGTTCTTGAAAAAAGAATAATACTGACATCATGGTGGGCTTTCAGCTCCTTCCATTTGGTAAACAATTCATAAAAAAATCCATTGATTGCCTTTTCAATATAAAGGTCTCCATTGAAGTCAAAGTCCCACATTTCTTTACTCATTTGAATGAATAAATACATCTTCGTGCTACTTGATCTAAAAATCACCTGAAATAGGAAAGACAAATAATGACTGTTGTCCAGTAGGGATGATCAGTGTTTAAAGTAAACAGGGGAGAGTTGAATAGCAATGCACAAAAACAAACACAAAAAATTTTAAAAACCCTTAAAGAGGACTGCCATTCTCACTGTTACCCTTAAACCAGACTGCTGTGCAGGAGGGCAAAGGTTCAAGCCCCAGACCAGACCAACACTCTGAGTTTAATAATAACTAAAGAGAATGTGCTGCCTTTACAATGACATCCACAAATGGTTTAAGACATTCTAGTCTTCTCCAATAAGGATGATAAAGCGTAGGCACTATCTCCTGTATCTCCAAACTGGTTTGCATAGGGGCATAAGAGAATCCACGCACTTCTCAGAAAGAGTGGGGAACATAGCTCTCTGTGTTTTGTCCTAGCCTTGCTATCGTTTATACAGGCCCCCATTTAATCCAGCTTTAGAGTAAATTTCTCTCATGTTTCCACTCCAACTAAGATCGATAACCAGCCAAATTTGGAGCAAGTGGGCCAATGTTCCTCCCTAAGAAAACTTCCCTTCTCAAATTAGGGCATGGGGATGGCCTCATGCCTTCTTTAATCCTCTCCACCCTTTTTCTGCTCCTCCACCCACCCAGCCCCATCTCCTCCTACCCTTCTGCTTGGTATCTGGTGATTTCACCAATGAGCGATTTTGCCAACGTCACATCCGCCAATGTCTTAGGTCGCTTCGCCAAAGCGAAAAGTCACTTCGCCAACATCCTACTGGTCACTTTGCCCATGTATTAGTTTACTCTAAATAAAAATTTACTAGAATTGAATTGAGCTGACTTGATTTCCCCGTTTGAACTTAGTTTCCTTCTGTTATTTTGTTCAGACTTAATTTCCTTCTTTTATACGCGCAACTTTTCTGGATCTGTCAAAAATATGCAAATTGTTTGGAAGTCAGCCAAGCGAAACTAGCATTAACTTAAAAATGTTCTGACCCAAGTATCAGCATTACATCCGAAGCATCAGTAAGCACCCTTTTTACTAAGTTATTACTAAGTTATTACTAGATATTTGGCGTTGGCAGAGTGACCAGTAGGACATTGGCGAAGCGACTCATTGCGTTGGCGAAGCGACCAAAGACGTTGGCGAACGTGACGTTGGCGAAATCACTCGTTGGCGAAATCACCGCAATTCTTCTGCTTACCCTGGTATCATTAGATATCACTCCACAAGACACCTTCTCTCCCTTGGTCCAGATCTCCATAACCTGAGCTCGCACCCCAAAGTGTGACAACTTCTTGGTGATATATACACACGATCCAACAAGCTGTTTGGAAAATCTCCACATTTCGCTCCTCGTGACGAACTGGTCTTTAAACAAAAGTTCCACCATATCCACAAACACATCTTTTGGTTCGACTTTGGTGACCTCCACATCCCAGTAAGTTCGCAACTGGAAGAAATTAGCCACAGACTGTTCGATGCTGATTGTATCTTTCTGTTGGAATTCGGGGTTAATCGATTTAATCTGCAGCAAAAGACGAGTGTTATCTTCATCTGGATGATAGATCTCCAAGATGTCTCCTTCTTTTTCATTTGGAAATTCCTTTGGATTTAGTATGAGATCATCCTCACTGAAGTTTTGCTGATGGACCCATAACTTAAAAAGCTTCATCCTTAAGCAATTGTCACTTCGATTACAAGGTACAAACCATCATGTTCCGCGTTCGCAAATTTTAGCTCGCTTCTTCCGCCATATTGTTTTTATGATTAGATACCGCTGACTTGCTTCCTGCTATTGGGGCATTTTAACTAGTTCCCAGTGTACCCAAAGTAACGAGGAAGGAACGCCTGACGAGGTTTTGATTCTGTTCGATCAATGTTTATTTGTAAGAGTGTTTCAAGCTTTTCTTACGATGCACCTACTTTTTCAAAGGCCTAGTGTAGTAAAACAAACTAGAATTGCAGCTAAATTTCTCCCCGCAGTAACTCAGACCGCTCCGTCGATAATTCGAGGAAAACATACCATCAAAGCTCTTGAAAGTGGCACGCCGCGACTCAGGTGAGCTGTGGGTACAGTTTCCCTCAATATGTTAATTGATTTTATTGAATTTTATTCCGTTCAATTGAAAAACCATTTCGTAAAATTTGTAGAATGGCAGCATCTCTTAACAAAAGGAAACACAGGGAGAAACATAACCGTATCGTGGTAGAGGGATGGAGACTCGTACGAGAAGCTTTGCTGGCCAAAGCTAAGGTGTTGAATATATTTTACACCGATCCAGCACTGCTTGATCACATCGACACTTCGAGTCTACCATCACACTGTCTTGCTCAAATAAGCGAAGAAACAATGGAGAGTTTATCAAATGCTGTCACACCGCCTGGTATAGTAGGAATGTTCAAGCGTCCAAGGCAGGGTGAAGGGGGGGAACTGAAGAATGGAAACACTGTGCAAAATCCATTGACAGTGTTATGTGATGGACTGAAAGATCCAACAAACTTAGGTATGGCATATAGTTATTTTATGACAAAGAAATGGCTTTTGAGTGGGAAGAAATGTTGATTTGAAATCAAGTGTAAGATGTCAACTGAAAATGGGACATGTGCATGACAGATTGGAAATGTCATACTCAAGAAAGCAGGGGTCTTTGTAATTAAGAAGCAGAAAATAGCAGCAGGTAACTGCAGAGGAAAGTAATCAAAAGAACAAAATTAGAAGACCTTCCTTTCACCCACTATTCATGTTACAGTAACTACCAAAATAGTATTAATGCAACATAACATATTGTGATTGTGTAGGTACATTGGTGCGGACGTCAGCAGCAGCAGGTTGCCAGTCCTTCATTACTTCAACTTGTTGTGTTGATGTGTGGGACCCAAAGGTGTTGCGATGTGCTGCTGGAGGTCATTTTTATCTTCCCATTCAATACAATGTGGATTGGGAAGAGATTGAGACATTCATTGCAGATAAAAGGATTTTTCTTGCAGACAATAATATTTCTGGTAGGGAAATTTAATTCAATTAATTTTTATCAAATGTTGAGTTTTGTTGCTTTTATCCTGTGTCTCATCTGACACAAAATTTATCGTCAGAAACATACTTAAGAATCTACTTAATAAATAACTTCTGTTCCAGTTAGGAATTCTGGCTGGTAGGATGTATTTTCTCTGGTCTTTGATTTAGAAAGTGTTTGTCAATCTCTTAAACTATAATTTAGAAATAATTATGTTTGTGTCCACAAAAATATATTGAACCAGTAAGTCTTTTCTAACAATATCCTCGTCAGTTCCACACTGTAACCAATGCACCAGCAATAAATTTAGGACAAGTTCAATTCTTGACAACTAGATCGAACTCTTCAACTTATGCATCATTGCCAGTGGTCTCTTCTTGAAGTGCAACAAACATATAATACATTAAGAACGGAACAACTAATTACAAGATTGGAAACGACTGAGGAAATACCAATAGCATAGGAAATAAGAGACACTCCATGAAAGGGCCATTTACCTGATGATTTGACATTCAGAACATACATATGATGACTTGTCAACTTGAGCTAAAACCTTTTTATTTGCATGATCTGCCCAAAGGTCAAACTCATAGAGATAACTGGGTGGACTGGAGCTAGGTAGGGGTTAGCTTTCTGCACATGCAAAATGTCAAACCTTAGTCTATCTTATATTTTGGGTTTAAATGTTGATCAGGAATGTTAGATGACTTTAAGTAGGCCTGTTCAAGCTGAATCATTTCCCAATGTTCCATTTATTTTCACTTCCTTTAGATGACCTAAGCATTCCAGCATCTGAACATTTCCAAGTGGACTGGACTCTAGGACCCAGTGTTCTGGTTATTGGTGGTGAGACTACAGGTCTGGGGGAAATTATCAAAGACTTAGCTTGTCAATATCATGGACAACTTGTTCGTGTTCCCATGGCAAACACAATTGACTGTTTAAGTGCAGCAATGGCTGGCACAGTTATTATTTATGAGGCTTACAGACAATTACTTATCGCTGAACAAGATAGATAACACTTGTAAGAAGTATGAAGAAGTTTAATTTTTTGATTTCTTAATTTATATTTTGATACAATTCAGACTTGTAAAGTCACATTCAATTTCTCTCCAAGAGAGTGGCTATTGCTGCACCTACTGATGCATCTGCATTTTCATTCAAAACCAGTGGCAATTCAAAAACCTGTTCAACTTGTTTCTGTAACACTCTATTTCTCTTCAAAGCGCTTCCAGCACCAACTATTTGTCGCACATCATGCAAATGGAGGAAATCTTGTGTCATCATTTCTTCTATGTTTTCAATAACTCCTTTAAAAAGAGCCAAACCAACATCACCAAGTGAGATATTTCCTGATGTTAGGTTGTTCACTTGTCCTCTTTGATCAGAAGTGTGCCTTTCACCCCATAAAGTGGGAACTACTTGAAGTGATGTTGAAGCTCTCTCATCAGCACAGGCCAGTATTCTAGAATAAATATCATCTTTAGAAGGGATACTCTCTTCCAGTCCAAGATCTTTCATCCATGATGTCAACATCTTCACAAAGGTGGCCAAAACATTACCTCCTGTAACGACAAAGGAAACAAAAGCTGACAGTTAGACCTCCTAGATTTCTTGGTTTGATAACATAGCAGTATGTGACCTTAAGAATTTTCCAAGAACCCCAATTGGATGTAATTTTTGATAACATCATTGTGACCCAAAGAAATATATTTGGAGATAGATAGAAGTAAACAGTGGTGGATTAAAGATTTAATGTTAGCACCAATACACATATGGTACAAGAGGCTGTCCATGAGTGAAAAGAAAGGTTTTATACACTCTTTGAACAACAGTACAAACATAAATCAAGAAAATCTGACCATACCTGAAAGTGATGCAGCCGTCATAACTTTTTGTCCTTGAAAGAATGGAAGAATTGTAATTGCTTTACTAGGCATCTCTGAACTTTGATATGAAGATTTCCCTACAGCCACAGTGCTGGTATTAGCAGGAACAACCACAGCCAGTTGGCAGGATGTTCCAATGTTAAGAACTGAAAATTAAAAAATATTTGACAACTGAAATTTGAGTACTAGTTAAGTTATATTTTGTTTGAACTGTGAAAGTTTTGAACAACAAGGGGTAATAATTTTCAATTTTTAATATAGTCATCTTCCTTCACACTTCTCAGGGAATGGCCCTTCATCCTTCTTGTCCCACGAGTCCTATATTTTGACCATTAATGACCTTGATTTGAGCCTTTATCTCAGTTATCACTTAATTTCCTGAGGTGTTCTTTGGACTAACCCCTGTCCTCATACCTTGGTGCTAAAGAGATCATGGTTTTGACACAAAAACTGTTCACTCTTAACCCTTCAGATCTGGTTGTTAATTCTCCCCTCTAGCTTCTGTGCATTTTCTTCTAAATTAGTTTCAAGAATTTTGCATTTGATAAAGATTACAGCTTTAACCAAATAAGTTTCAGTATTCTCATTAATAGTTTGCAGGATAATGTGTATATATTGTAGGGAGAAATTACATGTCAATCACTTCTGGGAGTAAAATGCTTAAGTGATGCAACATGCATGAAAAGAACTTCTAAGTGTTACCTGCATCACTTTCCTGAGATCTGCTTGCAAGTACTGAGCACTGGAAGTCACCCAGACCCACCCCCACAGGTGTACCAACTGGGATTCCATACAAAGATCTTTGCAGCTTACCAACCATTGTACCTGGTTCTACCACCACTGGCAGGAGTTGAGTGGGGAAGTTTGCCTCTTTCAGACTGCATAAAGAGTAAAAATAATAATTTAATTGTAGTCTACCCCTACAATAAGAATCTTAAAGAGTCCAATTTCCCATTCTGAACATTAATCTTGAATGTGGGAACTCTGTGCAAAATCAAATAAGCAATGGCTAAATGCCTAGTGGCCAGGTACGTTCTAAATGCCCGGCAGTCTGAAATTTTCAAAGAAAATTCACTGAAAGGTTGTTTCCAACTTATTTTAGAGTATCAAAAATGTCACGCCATTCTAAAAAACTATTTTTGTGCATTTAGTTGGCAAATTTTCTGAGTTTGTGCCATTGCTCAGTTGTCAACATTAAGAAATTCCACCCTTCAGATCAGGCTATCAAGCAACGCTCTAAAATGAAAAAATGTCCAGTAGTCAGAAATTTTCACGGAATTACCACTGACACGTTCTTCCAAACTTCTCAAGAGCATTAGATGTTTGTTTAGAAATGCAGAAACGTCACGCGATTCCAAAAAATTACTTTCTGGCAGTCGTGATTTTTCGATATTAGAATACCTTGACTGAATTTTTGAAAAGTATGTTACGACATACTAAAAGAAAAAACATCTGATGCCTTTTAGTGGAAATTCTGTAAAAATTTCCGAGTGCTGGTCTATTTAATTTTAAAACATTCCAGACTGCAGGTTCGTGCCCGACTACCGGACATTTAGCCATTGGCAATCGGATAAGCTAAACATTTCTCGCAGTCACTTGCATTAGAAAGAGGTGTTTTAAACCTGACTTAATGATATAATATCAAGAAAAAACTTGATAAGCATGTGGAATTAACTAACTTACATGTCTAACTCCCACGCCATATTACTCACATCAAAATATCCCCAACTGACAGCATTATGTGAAGACATGCAAGGCTTTCTCATTTCACAAAAAAGAAAAACAAAGTAATCCATGATGGTTCCAGCGCAATCGAAACGTTCCAAGAAGCTAGGATCATTTCTCTGAAGCCAAAAAATGCTTGCACATCCAAAACCAGTAGAAATAGGAATATGTGAACGTGTAGGCGGAAGGGTGCTTAAAAAGTCATTGTTACATCTTCCGTCCTCCCAAGTAATAAGTTGGGAGACATCATCGCTCCGTACAAAATGGTGACCTTCACTTGATACACTGCATGATTCACCGTTCCACATCACACATCCATGCATCTGTCCACAAATTCCAATACGAGCCACTTTGGCCAGGAAATGTAGAGAGAATTGGGAAAGTACATGCTGTAAACAAGCAAATATTTTCGCAACATCCTGCTCTGCAAAGTTAGATTCCTTATCGTGATTATTCGCCTCTGTATCAAGTCTAAAACTTTCAATGACATCTTTAGTACCATTTCGCACTAACGAAACCTTTATCGAGGTTGTTCCAATGTCTATTCCGAGAACGAAAGATCCCGTGTCACAATCCGCCATCTTGTCACGCAACAAAGAAAAAGTTGAGTGAGGGTGAATCACCTGACTTTAGTTGCATAATCATTGGCTGCAGATATTTGGTAAGAGTAAATGATGAACTTTTCTCGTGATCGTTAAACCCTATTTATTTCATTTGTTTTTTTAAAAAATGAGGGTTGCAATAATAGGGGCTGGAGCTAGTGGTCTTACCAGCATAAAATGCTGCAAAGACGAGGGTTTAGAGCCGGTTTGTTTCGAGCAGGAGGACTCCATTGGAGGACTTTGGTATTTTACCGAAGAGGAGAGACATAGTTCCGTGTACAGGTCGACTGTAATCAACACCAGCAAAGAAATGATGTGCTTTTCGGATTTCCCGATCCCTAAAGAATATCCTCCGTTCATGCACCACCAATTGATCATGAAATACCTCCATCTGTACGCGAAAGAATTCGATTTGTACAAATGCATTCGGTTCCGCATCAAGGTGGTTGACCTTAAGAAAGCACCAGATTTCGAAGAGAGCGGGAAATGGGAAATCCTATTTCAAGAACTTGACGGCAAGAATCCCGACGCGGTGAATAAAGAAGTATACGATGCTGTGATGCTTTGTGTAGGTCATCACTCAGAGCCCTCGTGGCCTTCCTTTCCCGGTATGGACGAATTTTCAGGGCTCAAGATCCACAGCCATTCATACAAGGACTTTAAACCATTTGAAAACAAGAAAGTCCTAGTGGTTGGTAGGTATTTTGCTCTTGATATTTTCTTTCCTTTAATCCAAAGCTAAATTCTTCAAGAAATATATTTTTGCCATCCCCCTTTCCCCTTTCCCCTTTCCCCTTTCCCCTTTCCCCTTTCCCC